TTATTTTTATTCCTAAATAATTTAAATTTTATAAATGAAATTATTTTATAAAAAGTACTTCTTAAAAAATGAAATTTTTTTTATTTAATATCATAAAATAACATCAACTAAAAGATGATTGAGAGCTGCGTTTTAACTTTTTATTTAAGCAGGAATAATATTTTTGATTCTCTCCAACGTTTGTGGAGTGGCTCTCAACAGTTGTTTTAACTTTTATATTTACTTTCTCATGAAATGCCTCTTTTAAGGATTTTGTGATGATATTTTAGTACTTATATATATAAGTAAAGGTTAGATTTTTTGTTTTTATTTTTTTTAATTTAATTATCAATTAATAAACTTTTCTTCTTGCCTTCAAAAATAGGTTTTTACAACTTTGCTTATATGAATTTACTTAACAAAATTTTATCAACTTTTTTTATATATATTTCTTACTAAATATAACAAAATATTAACAAAATTTTATTATAAAATTTAATAACTTTTTTATATAATTTTTAATTAATTACTTAATAAAAACTTTACTTAAAAAAACTACTTTTAACCAAACACGTCCCTAATAGAATCAACATTACGGATCCACTGAATCGCATTCTCTCCTCTATTCCAAGTTTCAAACATCAATCAATCTTTAATTTTTTCTAAGGATGCAGATGCCATGATACTATCAAATGATTCCAATTTGTAGGGAATAAAACAAATAGTAGTTCTGCACCATGTTTTCATGTTAATTGGTTAAAAGTGCACTTTTCTCAACATTTAATATGGGGTGAAATTGTCCGTCTTTTCTACCAATTTGTTCTTAATTGTTCAAGAAATAGTACTAGTACTCGTGCCTAGTGGAACTCAAGGGCACAATGCAACACTCCTATAGCTGAAATATCCTAAACCTGTTTAAAGTTTCCGTTAGCCTATCAACAACATCTAGTGGTGCATGTATACCGTTTACCTCTGCTATTTTCTTGACGCAAGATGTTAGTTCGAGCTGTCCATGAAAAGTGAGGATACCAGCCAAGCCAACGCACCGATTAACTAATTCAGGCTTAGCCCATTCTCAACCCAAAACTTCCTTCCTGGAGTCAAATATTTAAAGAACAAGGCTATGTATATAGTTTAGTTAAAATACTTAATCAACATAATATTTTTAATTTGTAGTTTTTTAAAGTATGTATTTTATGATTTACTCATGTTAAGTAATTTGTAGATAGATTTAGTCTTTGTTTGGGATTATAGATATTATTTTTTGGTATTAACTTCTTGATATTCAATAATTATATTAAATCTTGATCGAGGATTAGAGATATTATAAATGTGAAGAAACGTTATCTAAGATTAGTATTATTGAGATCGTGAAGAATTTAAGAGGTTTGAGTGGTTTGAGGATGACTTATTTTATTTTTTGAAATTAAAAGTGTTAAAATTGAGTATTTTTTAAACTTTTTAAGTGGTCTCAATTTTTAACTTTTATATATATATATACATATAAAGCTATGGTTGAGAGATTGTAACGAATATTTTGTTAAATAGTTTGAAAAGTCTCACATGTAAAAAGAATAAGGAAATAAAGGGATTTATATATATTACTCTCTATTTATAAATAATTATAGAAAGCTGAAACTTAGGTATGTGATTTTTGACTTTAGATCTTGCCCCTTTATATATTATCATTAAGATTCAGATATAATTTTTGCCAACTAAAAGACACATTTTCATAATGAGGTCTTTCTATGAGAGCATATCTCTTTGGTTAATATCTTTTTGAGGAAATATATCCCTTTAACTAGTATCTATTCATCCATTATAAGTTCCCCTAACAAAAATTTATGTTCTACATTTAATTCTAACAGAGTCTTTAAGTTTTGTTGTATTTTAAGAGATTTTAAATTCTTAAAAAAAAGTGAGATTGTGTTTTAGAATTTATTCTTCTATTACCTTTTATCTTTTTCTAACATGTTCCAAGAAAGAAAAAGCAAGAATAAGCCTAGTTAGACTTCTGTATTTCAACTGGTGTTGAAAGCCCTTGAACTTTTCTTACTATTTTAGCTATGGCATGGACTTGAGTTTGAGTTTTAAGTGCTTTAATTGGGCATTTTAGAGGGATTTATGTAGTCTTAATTTTATAATTATCTAAAAATAAAAAAACATAGAAATGAAAAAGATTTACCAAAAAAGGAAAAAAGGACAAGAGTAGCTCTTTAAATAGTATTTACTATGGCGTTTTAACCTTTTCAAAAAAAAATCCTTTAAAAAATTGAATTTAATTAAATTAGTTTTTTTAATTCAAAACTAATTGAAAGTTTTTTAAAACTCAAGATTAAAATTTGTCGAAATAGTCTTATCAAGTAAGTACTACTAAGCTAACTCTATTAATCTCTGAGACAAATTGAAACCATTTCTCTACACTTTCTTCAACCCCCACCCCCCCTCCCTTTTCTTTAAAAAAAAAAAGAAAGCAATTATTTCTCTTTTACGTATTTTTTTCTTAAAGGAGAGGGGAAAAGGTCCTGCTTGGTTGGATTAGGCCTTCCATGATGTGCCAATAAAATGGCCCAATGACAAGAGGTCATTTTCTTGATGAACCAATAAAATGGCCAAAAGGGCTTTGTTTACAGTTAGCCCAATAGAATGGTCTACAAATCTCTCCCCTGCACCAGAACCGTCCGATTCTGGTCTAGATATGTCTGATTCCGGACTAAAAAAGTCCCATTTTGTTCCTTTATTTAAAAAAAATTAAACCATCCTTAACCCTCAAACAAGCACATAATTAAATTGCAGAATGGGAGACAGGAATAGAGCGGAAGGGAGGACATGGCGGATGGCGGAGAAATGTTAAAAGTTATATTTTCTTATCCTTTTTTTTTTTTACAAAAAAAATTAAAGATTAACAAGTAATTTTTATTTAACAAACTAGTTTTAAAGAGTTATTAATTATTATATCAATATTTTCTGTTGAATTTAATGACAAAATTTATTAAAAAAAACTAGTGATTTATTTTTATAAATATTAAAAATTAATTAATTAATTAATTAAATTTGTAAAATACAACATTTAAAAACTAGTTTTAAAATTTTTTAAAAAATGTTAATAATTTAAATAACTTAATGATAATTTTTTTATTAAAAATAAAAAATTTTATATTCAAATTATAAGACATATAAATAAAATAAAATAATAAATGAAAAATAATTCTCTATTATTATATGAAAAGATAAAAAAAATTAAAAAAAAAAATTTCAAAAAACAAGGGCCGATAGCCCTGGCTGGTCACTTTCCGCCCCTGACGTAGATCAGATGCAATTATACTGCCCAATGATTTCAATTTGTAAGGATTAAAACAAGTACTAGGGTATTGTACCATGTCTTTAGGTTAATTGAATTTGTTAGAGTTAATTTTTTAATTAAAAACTTATTTAGTTGAATTTTTTTAATAACTTCTAACTTTGCCCCGTTTAGGAGTACCAGTATGTTATGTTGGATCAAGCGTATTGTAAGTTAAATTTTTTAATAAAAAAATATAAATATTAATTAAAATTAATTATTTATAATAAATTTATATTTTGAGATATTGTGTGTGTTCGAAAACGTGCTGTCTAAAAACTCTCAAACAAGCCTTCAACTCCAAATTAAAAATTGTCTAAATAGCTCATAAAGGAAAAAAAAAAAAAGGGTCTAAATAGAAAGCACACTAAACTAATATTAATCTTTGAGGCAACCAGAAACCATTTCTCTACTCCCTTTTTTTTTTTTTTATTTTAAAGCAATTATTCAATTTTACCTTTTAGAATTGTGCTTAGGGGTAAGCATTTCTCGGTATAAATTAGATATGAGTTATATTTGGTATTTAATTTGAAAGATTTTTTGTACAATTTTTTAGATTTAGTACTTATAATATTTAAAGACTTATACTTGATATCTAACCCAATAGATATCGAGTGACTAGAAGGTATGTACTTAAATATTTGGTTTAAGTAAAAAAAATGTCTAATATGAGATATTATTATTGCATATATTATGCGTTTAGTTTAAAATTTATTTTTAACAAGAGTTATTATTATTATATGTGTGATTTGTTTGCTTGTAGCCTTAATTTTTATTTCTACATTTTGTATTTTGTTATTTTTATTTTTAAAAAACTTATACTTGATATCTAACCCAATAGATATCGAGTGACTAGAAGGTATGTACTTAAATATTTGGTTTAAGTAAAAAAAATGTCTAATATAAGAT